CAACTTGCCTCTAGGTAGTCTTATACTGGAGACAGGTAAAGCTGTAAATAATTTCCAAAACTTAACAAATATTTACTGATTACATACTACATGCCAGCTATATTCTAAGTCTTAGAGACAGCAGTGAACAAAAAGCCCGGAGAATACTTATGGAGCTTAAATTTTAAAAGAGTTTTGGGGCCCAGGAATTTACACTATAAACAAGCTACTCAATGATAATTCTTACATTTAATGATATTTATACTAGAAGATATCAGAGTAAGAGAAGTATATTAGTTTTACTATTAGTATTAAGAACAATGAGGATTTTATCCTATTTATCTCAAATCCACTTTTGAATAGGGTGAGCTATGAATAAAATAAAAATTGCATTGCTCTGTCATAATTCCAAGAAAAACAATGAATGAAATTATATCTTTGTGTGTGTGTATAGTTAAACAATAAGGTTTTATTGTCATAAATAAAAAAGCATTAGACAATAAAAAAAAAGACCTCTGGGCTTCTTAATAAAGTAGAACAATTTTATTTCACATGTAAGAAAATTGAGACTCAGAAAAGTTAAATAACAAACAAAAAATAGCATAGTGCAGACTGGGGACTCCTCATGACTCCTGTTTCTCTCTATGATTTCCACTACTACACTATCAGTGACCTAGGAACATTTCTAGAAATAGAAATAATATTTATCATACTTCCTATAGAATTAGCTGATAGTAATATTTAGAGGAATAGATTTGTTTTCCACAAAATGAAATACAAAGGATGAGAGTCCACCTAAAAATTTTGAACATAAACCTACATAATCATACTTTCTTTTTATTTCCTTTAGTGTGGTCTTTACATACTTTTAAAACATGCTTTTGTTTTTATTTTTAGCTACTTTGACTACTCAATGAACTCAAACATTTGTGGTATGTTGTGACACCTGGAGTATTTTTGCTCAGAATTATTTTCTCCCAGCACCTTTGGCTATTACTTCCAGTGACTCCCTGGAAGAACAGGGAGAACAGTCTTGTTGCCAGTGTCTGGGCTTGCCTATATTAATTGCTTTGTCTAGCAGAATGTGAACAGGCTTGATAAGCATAAATGCACTTACACAGTCTAGATGCAGTCCATGCTGATGCTAGTTCTGTTGTACAAGAGCACATCCAGCCTTCGCTTTCAACCTGGGCCTTGGATGGAGAAGACCTGAACTTGACCCACAGCAATCAACCCACAGCAGACAGGTCATGCAATTGAGAAACGTGATTGAAAGCCACTGAAAATTTTGAGGTTGGTATTCATAGTAGCTTAATAAATGTGAATGCATAAGTGCTCTCAAATCGGAACCAAAAATCTAGTACCTGAAGCAGACAGATATTTAAAAAAAAAACTCTGAAGTTCCCAAGCCAAGAATCTATAATGATACATAAATATCTTATTAATGTACCTGCATATACATTAGTGCTAAAATGTTTTTATGCAGTTTAGAGTTTGTGACGTGATTGGTACATAAATGAGCTATAGTCATTTATGTTTGGAAAATAGGTGTAATTAATCTACATGACAATTTCATAATATAAAATTGCACCAACATGAAGAAAGGAAATGTCACAATTTATCTGGGGATATAATTTTCACAGTCCCTGGAAATATAGGGATATTTTTAAAAAATATATAATCCCACAAGTAAAATGCTCTAAAATTTTATATGACCAGTGTGAGACTTATACCAGCAAAAATAATTAACTCCTTATAGGTTTTTCAAAAATTTTCTACCTCATGGCTTACCTTTTCTACTAATGATTTCTGGATATTAGTTTAGGAAAATTAATTTTATTCTTTTAATGTTCAGTGGAAGGAATAATTTCATAGATTTTTGACTTAACTGCAAATAATATTACCTTTGAATGAAAACTAGCTATAGTTTATTATGACTATTTTCCAGAAATCTTTAATAACTTTTTCTGGCAGTGGTGAGCTGGAATTAGTTTGTATCAACTCACACAAGAAAAAATAAGTGCATCTCATTCCAATTCAGCTTTGAGTCATTTCATGTTGAGAGCTTGCAGTCAGCCAAGTAGGAATATTTACAAAGCACTACAAACAGGGGTTTATCCCTCACCAGATAGCTGGCCTTCAAACAATTATCAATGTACTCTAGACTTAAAATTTCACCATTAACATTTGAGTCTTCAGGAATATTGCTCTGCTTAGAGTCTAGGCCCGGGAAAAACTGATGCACCCATAGTAGGAATGAGACCCATGAATCTGACAAAGAACATGTACAGTGATGGCAATCAGAGGCAAAATAGTTGTGTAATAGTCTCTTCTCCTTGTAGATAAACATGGTGAGACATACCGACTAATGGTAAATGATATGTTCTAGGAATATGTATGTTTTAAGCTTTCATCTTTATGAATATTTCTGATTATAAGTATTAATGTTTTAGGTTTTGCCAAATAAAATTACTTTTAAGACTTTTAAAACAAAGTAGACATCAGTGCCATTAGTTCTTTATTAGGTTATCTGTCAGCAAAAATATTTCAAGTAAGAAAAATGGTATGCCACAATTTGAGTTAGTATCAACAATTCTCCAGCTTTTGTTATAATCTTAGAGCAATTTATAAATATCATACAGAATGCACTGGAGAAGTTTAACTACCCACTAAGAAAAAAAAAACTGAGAAGCACACACTTCAGTTTCATATATATATATATATGTATGTATACATGACTTTATATGCGGACCCTTGCGTACATACATAATTAACACTAACATAAGTGTATCTACTGGGAAGATGAGTCTCATAATGATTAGTACCTTTATTCTTTTGCAGACTTTAGCAAAACAGATGCTAGGCATAAATAGATGTTACTATATCTTAAAAAATTTCATATTAAACAGTTTCTAAATAGCCCCTGCTCAGAAATTAACTTAAAATTTTGACTTTTTAATTACACAATTGATGATTAGACTAATGTGTGGACTAACACAATATACAAACAATGAAATCCTAAGTGCAAATATAAGTCATCAGATGATACAGCAGCTCATATTTCACAGGATTTTAGGATAACAAAAGGAAATACATATTCTAAAAATCTAGTATATGAATCCAAAATTAGTTAGACATTCTAGGCCTAGACAAAAAGTATTCATGCTCAGAAATATTTTCAAGTCACATCACCAGTGTCTGGATCAAGAAGATGTGGTACATACATAATGGAATATTACTCAGTAATCAAAAAAGATAAACTCATGTCATTGAAGGCAACATGGATAGAGTTGGAAGGGATCATGCTCAGTAAAATAAGCCAGATAGAAAAAGACAAATACCAGATGGTTTCACTTTTAGAAGGAATGTAAGGGGTTATGGGGGAAAAAGTAACTATAATAAAGTAAAAACCAACAGACAACTATAAACTACAGACATTCTTAAGGAGGGGAAAAGGGAGGAGGATAGAAATAGGGTTGGGAAGAGCACAAGGGACTATGGTGATGGCACACTGATGAATTGGTTATGGGAATTTCACAGGGTCTACAACCAAGATGAAAAAGCATACATTATACAAAAATGAAGAATGATGTTAAAAAAATATATTTAAAAAAAACAAAAAAAAATAGATTACAGCTATGATTGCACTAAATTACCAATTGATAAAAAAATTTCCTTCCTCTGAAAATAGTTATTTTTCACTCAAAATGTAGTCATACCATTAGTAGTATTCACCTGTACAAAAATATACACCAAATATTTAGACTTACAGGCAAAAATCTTAGTATATACTTTCTGCTATGCCAAAGGCAGAATCTTGGCCCCTATCCACATTTATTAAAAATGTGTGATAAACCATGATCTCTGATTTTAGATATGTTTTCCCTTTTTACTTGTAGTCATTGTTGCCAATAATTACTTCCTTTGCTTACTGACACCTATGTACCACTAGAGGACTAAACTGCAGGTATCTTGATAAAACAGCTTTCTGTTAAGCATCACTGGCAAGATTTTCAGAGTGACTAAAGAAAGTTTTTCTCAAGTATCAATATTAAATTGCTAAAGGTGAAAAACAATGTAATGTTGATAAATGGGCGATTAATGGTTTTGAAAATGAAAATAACTTTTAGTAGAAGGCACCCTTTAATACTTTAAAGAAAAAAAATGTCAAACATTAATATACATGGTAAGCAAATGTAATTTTTATTGACTCTTTGGTTAGCATTATTACACTTACACATATTAGTTTTCAGTCTTTAGTTTCTGAGAAACACCAAAGAATGATACTATTTCTTCAAAGAAATCAGTTTTTCTTTGCTGCATGGGCTCAAAACTCTCTCTCCAAAGAAGTAAACAAAGAGTATTAACTTCTAAATACTTAGCTACATTTTATGTATTTTAGCTTCTTATTTCAGATATATTGAAAGGAAAAGTTCAGAAGCAGTTAAGGACATATTTTATCTTTTACTAACACTAGGAAGATAACTATGTTGCCAAAGTGTTACGGCTAGTAACTATTTAAAAAATCAAGTCCACCGACACAGCTAATGACAATGGGTCACTTGGTCTCAAATTTAAATGAGAAAATCTTGTTAAGGAAACTCTGTACACTACTGGTGGGAATGTAAACTGGTATATCCATGATGAAAGGAGCATGGTAGGGCCTCCAATAATAATAATTAGAAATAGTGTATGATTCAGCAATACCACTTCTGGGTATACAGCCAAAGAAAATGAAATCAGAATCTCAAAGAGATATCTGTATTACTACATTTGTTTCAGCACTACTCATATTAACCGAGATATGGAAACAACCAAGTGTCTGTCAACAGATAAAACATATATGTGTGTACACACCTATACAAATAAACATGAATATATATATATATATACCATTAAATATATACCACCTTTATAATTGATCTACATATAGGTAACAGAATAGTATTTTTGTAATGGAGTGTTATTCAGACTTAAGATGGAAATACTGCCATTTTCAATAGCATGGATGAATGTGGAGGACACCATACTACGTGAAATCTATTCCACACAAAACAAACACTGCAAGATCTCTTCTATATGTGAATCTGAAATAGTCAAATTCGTAGAAGCAGGGGGTAGTATGGTAGTCACCAGGGGGCAGGAAAATGGGAAGATGTTGGTTCAAAGTTTCAGTTATGCAAGAAATGTAAGGTCTGGAGAATTAACATACAATGATTGATTATAGCTAACAATTCTTTATATTGTATACTTGAAATGTTATGAATGTAGATCTTGAGTCACTATACAAAAAAATACTATCTATCTGAAGAGATGTTAATTAGCTTGAATGTGATTATTTCACAATACATGTGCATATCAAATCACTGAACTGTACACTTTAAAAATAGACAATTCTTATTTATCAATTATACCTTAAGGGAAATAAGGCATTCCAAAATCCTCTTGTCATTAGAAAAACTTTTCTCTAAGTCAATAAAATATTTTTCTTCATTTTAATATCCAAATGGTAAAACTAGAAAGGTAAAGGCTGAGAACAAATTTGCATAAAGTTCATAAAATTAAGAATGCACAAGCCTGGGTTCATTGATATCTAAAATAAAAGTCACAACTTCAGTCCACAAGGCAAATCCATCCTGCCCCTTAAAAGTAGCTTTTACATTTTCTACTGGCTAAAATGAACCATCAAAAAAATTTCATGACATGTAAAACTTATATGAAATTCAACATTTAGCATCCACAGATAATTTTATTGGAACATAGTTGTACTCATTACTTATACATTGCATATGGCTGCTTCCACACTATAATGGTAGTGATGAATAGGTGCAACAGTAATGTTTTCATTTTGCACTGCTGTTTGCAGTGGTGATACATTTTGAATGCACGCGTTGTCATACCACAATTCTTGAAAAGTTTTTATTACCAGTGTATACTCTTAATATCAGAACAGAAAAAGGAGAAAAGCAGACATCAAGTGTCATGAGTTTAAGGCACAGTAGAGTAGGGATTGTCATTGAATTAGATGGCAAAGCTTTGTGTTTAACGTGCAAGGACACTAGTTATGCATAAAGAACACTATCTACATTGGAATGGCCAGACTAAACACTCATCATAATACTTATGGTAAAATATCACATTTCATAGGAATGCAGTGGCAAGGAAAAAAAATCAGAAAATTTAAAACAAGGTTTTATTTATAAAAACAAAAAATAAAAATAAAGCTACAGCCAAATTTTCTGAGTGGTTCACTTGTTAGCCAAGCAAGCAAAGCTTTTTACCAATGGTGAGTTAATTAAGTTGTTTTTGGTTCAACACTAAAGAAATGTGTCCAATGTAAACTTGCTTAAAACTATCAAATTAGACATTTGGCAAGAACAGTTGTTCAAAGAATTGAGAACACTGGGAACAACATCAATAGTCAATAAAAAACAAACAAACAAACAAAAAAACCAGGCACATGATTCTGAGTGGTTTCCTTGGCTCTCGATGAGTCAACAGATGTTACTGATACTGCCTAGTTATTGTTGTTTATTTGATGCGTCAATGACAAGGTTGAAGTGACTGAAGAGTTACTGTCTATGAATAGTCTGTGTGGAACAATTACAGGCAAAAGCATTTTCTAAGAAGTTAAGAAAACATGAATTCAGAAGAAACTGCTAAGATGTGTTACAAATGGTGTTGGTAAAAGCATGTAGAACAACAACAAATGCTCACCTGGTCAAATTTACAAAGCTTGTGAAAAATGTAGTGTTTAAAATCTGTGGTTATTTACTGCATTACTCATCAGTAAATACTCTGTAGAATATATTTGATCCAATTTTGTGTTACTGCACTAGTAAAGTCAATAATGAACTCAATTTAACAATTATCAGATCCATATCTTTTAAAAGAAAAACTGAATATTTTGATTTGCCCTAACTCAAAGCAGTTTTCTGGCTTAGCAGGGATTGTTTTATTGTAAATTTTTGAACTCAGACCTGATACTGAAATTTTTCTAAACAAAAAATTTCCTCAACCACTATAGTGCAGAATGCTGAATAGCTTTAAAACTTAGCTTTGTTTCAACTTTTACAATGTTTTGAAACAAATTCAACCCCAAATAGGAACAATTCTTCCAACTGCATATAGGACTTACAGGACTCAGGAAGACATCCCATACTCAAGGAAAGCTCAGGAGACCAGCAGCATAAGCATCACTACAATGAAAATACTTCTGAGTTAGAAGATCAAGGGATGGAACCAATAAAATAATGTTTATATGTGAAACACCTAAGTAATTTTGATAATAAGTAACATTTTTTGAGTCACAAGGTAATTTCAAGTATTTATATTCTTATTGTGCTATTAAAAGTAAGATAAGTAGCAAGGTCTCCATTCTCACGTGAATTTACAGCAGATATATCATCAGTTTAAATTACAGGTCCAACAATGTTTTTTTGGAGTTCAATTTAAGTGCAAAGGAAATTTCTACTTTTCAAAATCCACTCAATTATGCAGTTGAGGAGCTTCCACTTAACAATGATAAGTGATTAATCTTCAATGTAATAACATGCTAAAAGGAAAATACCAGAAGAATCACAGGATTTTAACAATGATAACTACACTCAGTGAAAATCCTGTTCTTGCAGATTAAGTATCTGGCAATATCTATCTGTATGAAAAAAAAAACCTTTTCCAAGAAAAATACGTTTGATCAACAGATGAATACTAATAATCAGTTTTGATGACAGGAAATAGTGTGAATTCCAGTTAAGTGAAGTTATCCCCCAGCAGTATTTATTTTGTATCATTAGTTTTTCTCAATTATTGTAATGTTATGTTTTAAATTTTAGCAATAAAAATGTGGAGATTTATTTTCTCTCTAGCTATGTAAGTACCTTTGTAGTAATCTTAATTTTGTCTCTTAGTCAGCAAAGTCTAAAATCGTTACTCTCTGGCCTTTATAAAAAAGCGCGCTGAACTCAGTTCTAGAACCAGGAGCCACACTGAACACTTAAGGCACATGCTGAATACAGTGCTCCTGAGTTCAGATGGCTGGCTCTGTCCCCAACAACCTTTTATCATAAGTAAGTTCCTTATTCTTTGTTTCAATTCCCTCCTCATTTCGTGTATGGGAGTAATGGTATCTATTGTACAAGGCTGTTGTGAGGGTAAGTTGGAAAATACAAATGGCACGAGAGAGTGTCCCGTACAATGTAAGTATTAAGTCAGTGTCAGCTAACTTATGATAAAAGCATTATTTCACCAGTTGGTAGTCAAATGATACACTTCATCTTCCTAAAAGTTCTTCTGAATAAAACATTTTAAATGTTTACATATATTTGTGAGTGAAAAGACAATCCAAGGAGAAGAAGGTAACAATGGAGGATAACCAAACCCTTTCCAATTGCTTCTGCCATCAAATAAGATCAGGTGGGGCACAGTGCCAGGACAATACTTGCACAGATGATTTCTTACATGGAAGAAACTGTATTAATGTCTTAATATTTTAAATGTCACAATATTATACTCTTTATATTTTATAAATAATAAAGAGTACTACAAGTAATAATTTATAACATTTACATTTTTTAAAATTTCTCATGACTTAAGTCAATGACAGATTCTTATTCAACAAATATTTATTGGATGCCTACTATTTGATATGTGTATAAATTCATGACTTAAAGGACTTTAGGGGGCAAATGTTTTTATATATGTATTGTTGAGAGGGCCCTCAAACACTGCATAGACATAATAATATTAACTTGCTATTCTGTTAACTCAGTAAGTTTTTCTTAGTGACTATAACTTTTAAGACAAAAAATTCTAGAGTAGTGTTACCCATTATAATTCTAGTCTCAGATAACTACTGAACACTTAATTTGTGACTAGCACAATTGACAAATAAAACTCTTAATTAAATTTAAGTTAACTGAAATGAAATAAAATAGACACATCTGTGTAACAGCTGCCTTATTAGCCAGCAGATTCCACAGGATCCCTTTGGATCTACAGGTGTAGGAGGTTTACATTTTGTCCTGTATAAGAGAATAAATATTGTGACCTTGCGAAAATACTAGTTTGTTATTCAAAATAGCTATCTTCTCATGAAACAAAATATTTTCTGTCAACTTTCTTAGCAGCAGAACTAAATAAATTCACTATTTAATAATAAACAATGTGCTTGTTTGCTTGCTTTCTCTCCTCTAGCAGATTACTAATTATTTAAGTTGCTGGGGTACAGATGGAAATCCAAATAAGAAATCTTACACTTCTCCCTCTGTCAAAATTTTTAAGATAACTGCTTAACAATTAGAAAGTTATTTTAATTGTTTAACTCTTGTTCTTGATGATGCCTATATTTTTATAACTAGTATTATTCCATAGTAACATAAACATATCACAAGAAATGTGGAAAACTAAACATTTTCTAACAAAAATAAAAAATAAAAACAAAATTAAGGAGCAAGTATAAATCAGAGACATTCTGAAAGGGGGGGAGGCAGAGGGTTCAAAACAGGGAAGGGAAGAACACAAGGGACAATTCACATGGGTCAAATGGTGGTGGGAATTCTATAAGGAATACACCTGAGAGAAGCATACAAACATGCATTATCCAAAAATGAACAATGAAATGTTGTGTGTGTGTGTGTGTATGTGTATAAAGAAAAAGTAAATATTTTCAAATTGAAGATTTGAAAATCATAAAATCAGTAACAAAAGGGAAAAAAAAATTATTCTCCATTAACTGTCAATTTCGTACCTACCAAAGAAAACACTGGCAAAATCATAAAACTTATTAATAAGACATCCTTTCATGGAGGTATGAAAAATTAATTTTATTTTTTGCATAAATATCATGATAGTTTATTGCTCAGTGTTCCTTTAAAAATAAGTTAAAATAGTTCCATATTACTCTTTTTACTAAACACGTAATTATTGACCAAAACATATCATCACTGATTAACATAAAATAAAAATAGTATCAGCCACTCACATATTCTTGAAGAAAAGTGCTTGTAACATTTTGTTAAAACATTTCTTGTCATTTTTTACTTGATTTAATGAATAATCTCATATTTTTCTTTACAGTGTCTTAAGACTAAATAAGTCCAATCCCAAAATACGACCTTGCAAAAGCACATTAATTCTATTACAGAACATACATTAAGTCACTGAGTGAAGCTCTTTTTTATGAACACTTTTGGAAAGTTCACATTGAGCTCCAGCACAGCTCTATTATCAATCTGAGAACAGAAGGACACATCAAGTAAAGAAAGATCTTTACATGATTCCAGGAGTTTCCTTAAGGATGCTGGACTTACCATTCTTGTTCCTGTTAAAACAAAACAAAACATCTTAAACAAATCACTTATAGAGTATACTGATAAAGAGTTTGTTATTGTTTATTATTTGAAATAAATTGCTGTTTAATAATTAAAAACATTTCTTGAAAACAAAATCATATTGAAATAATCCTGCAAAAAAGAAATAAACTGCATTTCCCCAGCCACAATGACATCTAGGACCTCAATTTTATCAATGCTCTACTCCCTATCTTCATTCTCACCTTCTACCCTTTGCATTCAACTCATCCAGATTTTTCTATTTCTCTCACCCTAGTTCAAAAGGTTTGCACATCTCATTTTCTTTAACCCATAGGTCAAAACAGGCAGCAGTACTGACAATGATTCAACCTCTAATTCCACATGATACAAGTACTGAGAAACTACCTTGTACACAATTCTGTTTTAGGCACTGAAGATACAAAGATAAATAAGACCCATTTCTGCCTTAAGGAACTCACTGACCAGAGTTCCTTATAGCTACAATACAGTTTTATGGTAAGAGGTGGACAAAAAATGGCATTACTGAAAGATTGATGACAGATGATGAGTTCTATTTAGTCTATGCTACATTAAAAGTGATTATGGGGTATTCAGATGAACTAAATTATATAAATATGTAAAGCACCTGACACATGGCAGGCACTCAATACATATCAAGTATCACTAGGCTCTAAGAAGGAATCTGTTGCAAAATATACCTTGCTTTAATTATAGCTTTTCTAGGGAAAAAAATCACAATTACATTATATATGCACATCTACTAGAAGGGGTATTAAGGATTGTGAAATGTTAACTTACTTATTTTTCTGGGAGAACTCCTTTCCACTCCTGTCTCTGCCATGGGCCCTGAAGCTATAAATTATACTGCTTCCCTATCTGTCAGTATCTCCAAGTCAAACCAATATAGATTCTTCTGGGAACTTAAAACTGGAGTTCAGTATAGGTTTCCTCGTTTTCCCTTCCTCAAATCCCACGCTACCTGAAAACAGAACACTCTTATTTGGTATGACTTGGCAAACTGTTTTATTGGTTCTGGGAACTTTATTTCCACCAATTCATAAGAAAATTTTTTGAGTAGTTCCAGACACAAAAAATAATCTACCAAATCATACCAAATAGGAATGTTGTACTTTCAGATAGTGGGCAAAACTAGAAGCTTTCAATATTCATAGAGCCCTTGAATTGAAGACATGGAAAAACTGGGTTGAGGCTGTTACATTTGGCCACTTATACCCAGAGAAGCAGGAGTAGTAAGTATGACAAGAAAGAACAAGACAAAACTAAGGTAGTCTCAAGGTCTTGGTGAGTGTACAGTGGCAGAGGGCAGAGAGGCAGGCATGGGACAAGCACCTGAAGATGCAGGAAAAAAACAGCTTTCTGCTTTGTGATGTTTTCCTCATCCCTTCTGAGGTCTGTCAATAGGCAGCTCCTACTTGAACTACCTACTTGGATCTGAGGAAGATACCTGTATCTTCAGAATGATTTTCTTCTTCTTATGCTTAAGTTAACTCAAGTGGGTTTAAAAAAAAAAAAAAACTGTGAGGTAACACTGGTTTAAAATACTGTATATGTTTTAGGGGTATAGGCTCACATGTCTTCTAATGTATCTACCCACCCCATTAAGAGGTTTTCAGACCAGAGAACCTTAAATAGAACACTTAGGTATCTGGTGTTTGTCATCTGGGGTTTTTGATTCTTCTCTATTTGTCAGTGCAGATCATTAAAATTAGTTTCCTGATAAAGGAGCTGCTCAAGCCTGCGAGAATGCTAGGGAAGGATGTCAGTAACTAAACTGAACTAGACTGGAGCCCCCTGTCTATGCTTCCAGAGTACTTTGTGCTTTTGTTATCCCTCATGACAAAATTATGTTTTCATCAGCCTGCTCCTTCAGGCAGCTACTATTGTACCCCACTTTTTAAAAGAATGCCTGACACACTTTATGCTCTATGAGTAGACACTGAATAAACAAACCAAGAGATGGTGGTTACTTTCCCCGAACCATTACTCTGGTTTGGAATCTCATTAATTTACTCTTATTTTTATTATTATTTTACTGTGCTATTTATATTTGAAATAAGATATTTCAATATATTTGTATGATGGCTGTGTTCCAGCTATAGTTTTAACATAATACTTCTTTGTATTAAGGCTCATGAAACTTACAAATTTTTTTTCAGAAAGAAATCATTTATATTTACCCATTTTTCATATAGATCTCTGTCAAGTAATTCATACATTTGGAGATTAAAGTTAAGTGACCTGACAACCAACCTTCCTTAACCCCACATTCACCGTAACTGTGCTTTTGTTTTAGGGTAAGTGCTAGTGACTTATTTGGGACTCTGTAACATCACCTTCAGATACCAGTTACTCTCTCTCTCTAGTGTATGACTTTTTTGTTGTCGTTGAAAGGGAGAGGGGAGTTGTAAAATAGATTTTAATCAACAACACAGCCATCCTCTGAAGTGAAATCTGATGCACTTAGTGGTTCATTTTAAAGGCCTTGGCCACCATTCCTCATTCTCCCTGACAATTCATGACTTTTTCTGGGAATTTTCACAAAATTTTTTTTTTTTTTTAATAAAAGGTTCAGGGTAGTTCAAGGGGGAAGGTGGTTATGAAGGAAAAGAAGCTGGGCAAGAGGGCATGGTGTTATGAAAAAACAGCACTGACCAGAGGGTCAAAACCTTGGGTTTGAACCCATGCTGTTTGCTACTTGTTAACTGCTGAGTCCAGTAAACACGTCTATGAAAAGACAATGATGTCCAATTCCCTGAGTGACGGCAAATAAGGGATAGGTAACATGGATGAAACACGTGGCCCAATCTGTACAAGAATTTTCCCCTAATTTTTTAGGTAAGAGTTTCTTTCTAGAGGTACTCTGAATAAGTACTATGAAAAGAAATGATAAGACAATGATATCTAATTCCCTGAGTGATGGCAAATAAGGGATATGTAACATGGATGAAGCACTTGGCCCATTCTGTACAAGAATTTCCCCCTAACTTTTTAGGCAAGAGTTTCTTTCTAGAAGTACTCTAAATAAGTAATATGCAACTACATGACTAACATTTGTAAAAGTATCATGACCACAAAGAAATTTTCAGGTATTCCTTTTGTTGTAAGTTCCTGTAAACAGGAAAGAAGGATACTCCCTGGTGGCTCAGTGGGTTAAAGCACAGCACTATGAAGATAACTGCAGTCACTACAGCACAAGTTCAATTCCCAGCCTGGAAGGTGACCCACATGGTGCAGCAGACCTCTCTTATCTGACCCAATGCTCTCCTTAGCAGTGTATGTTGGTGGATCTGCCTGTTCTGCTCCCCACTCCACCTCTGGTGAATACTCTTACCCCCATACTTCTAGTCTATGCCCCAGTTCTTGTATGCATAAATAAATAAATCTTGGGATAAAAAAACAGGAAAGGATACAATTACTCTATGGCACAATTAGCACTTCATAGACTAGTCTACTAGTACTAACAGACTACTGGCAGGCACACAGCATGTGCTCACAAAGTGCCAACTGTGTGGCAACTAACTTCAGCTAAAGTAAAAAGAAACAAAATTTTACAGGGTTTCTGGCTGATAAATTACATATGGAGATACAAGGAATCCCAGAACTAGAAAAAAATTGTCAATGGAATTACCTTGAGGTAGAAGTATTCGTAAAAGCTAGAATTGTTAGGGATGGGCATTTTAACATAGTGCTTAAGAGTTTAACATCAAGATGGTGGGAGAAGGGGAGATATCTTGAATCTGTTATACAAATAGATTAACGTCTTATCTGACCTTAATAAAACTAAACAAAATTCATGTAAATTCTCACTAGTCTTAATAGATCAAAAATGAGCAGTTACTTAGTGCTTTCTGATAAGCTTTAACTGTATATTTCTGTTATTGTCCTCTTTCTCTTATTGAAGCACATATATAATTACTCTATATATCAACTAACCTATTTGCACTTGCTACCAAACCAAGCTGTCTTATCAGGTCAAAAGTTTTACTGTATTCAACAAGTTCTTCTTTGCCTTGCAAAAAGTGCAACATTGGCTTTTATGTCAAGGAAATAGGCCTTACAACAAATTTATATACTGTATCCTTACCTAAGATGTCCAGTTGCTGTAATCTGGTACAATTACATGCCAATTCTTCAATGTCTGTATCACACACAGACCTGTTCGCTGTGAGAAAGAGTTTTCGCAAGTTTGGGAGCTGGCGTGCCAGCTTGGCGAAGCAGCCGGTGCTGCTCTGCAGGGTAGGACACCAGCCGAGGTCGAGCTCCTCCAGCAGGGGACATCCAGACGCCAGTTCTGCTATTCCATTCTCAGTAATATTCTTGCATCGCCACAGATCCAGAGTACGCAGCTTTTTACACTTGGCTCCTATCATGCTAGCTATCACATCATAATCTTCAATCTGGAAATCAAGCAATTCCAATCTTTTATATCTGCTCAGATATGCAAACTGTTTAGAGTAAGTTAAAACAATCTTCTTCACCTCCTATTGTTTGTTTCCGTGTAAACATACCCACATCCTCATTAACACAGATCTGCCCACTCATCTCACAGATCTGCCACTGTTTCATAAAACAGCAAGAGTAATCACTTACTTAAAAATCCATTTAACAGAGCTCCAGATAGAGGACATTAATGAATTAAATCCCAAAGCAGCCTGAAATTCTGTCTCTCATGAAGAATCTGAAGATTGTGTGCTGTCCTTGTAGCCTCCCATTTGACCTTGCTGCTGCTACTTCTTGACAGGGCCTACTTACTTCTATTTTGTTCCTGGCTAAAAAACTGTGGTAGGTATCTAAGAGTTCCCTGGTAAAGTGTGAACTTTGTCGTTCGGCTTAGGTTCTAAAATAGCATGTGAAGATATAAGTAGTACTAAGAAGGACACTAATTTGGGTGTAAATGATGCATTTGGGGACTGAATATACAACACGGAAATAATTGAAATTATGTTGCTAATGGAGTGTCCACTGATTTACTTCATGATCACAGGAGAGGCCCCTATCGGTCAAGGACGATTAAATATTTCAGTTCATGGGCCTATATGCTTAGTATTTCTTTACCTAGGTTCCTTTAAGAGATTCATCTGATTTGTTATAATCAGCCATCAAAATTATTATCAAAAAAAAAAAAGGGAAGCAAATAGCATACATTTGCAATAATTATTCCCTTGCGTTCACTGGTTTATTCATGTTTTCAGCTATTGTGTGCCAGCACCACTCTAGATGCTAGGAACAACAGAAAATCAAAACAACAAAGACTATTCACATTTGGGGGAAATACACAAGCAAAATAAATTCAGAGAGTGATAGGTGGTATGAAAACAATAAAACAGGTAATGTGAGAGCATCAGAGTGTCAGGAATTGAGGGAGGAAGTAAGTGGTGGTTGTTAGCATCTCCAGGAACGAGGCTGGCACATTCAGAAAAAAAGGACAGAAGGCTCAAGGGTGTTGAGGGCAGGGATGGAGGGCTGGAGTCATGCCGGGGCCAGGCCATTCAGCTCAGGAGGGAGTTTGGGTTTTTCCTTTAAGGGCTAAGAAAATCAATGCAGGGCTTGCAACAAACAATTTAAATTAAAATAAAAACAAAAACTCCTCTGACTTCTGTCTAGAGGATTGTGTAAGGTGGGCAACAGTGGAGGAGGAAGCCAAGTAAAGAGGCCTACACTAGTCTGCAAGGGAAATGAGAGGGGTTGGGGCTAAGGTAACAACAGTGGAATTGGAGAAATGGACAGACTTGGGGATCTGAGTCAGAATCAAAGGACTGATGGATTATATATAGTTGGGATTTGTAAGGTTCTAGTTGTGTACCAATTGTGTAAGGTAACACCATGGAGAAGAACATGAGAAACAGATCTGGACTCAGTTTAACCTGCGGCTTGGTTTAAGCATGATAATGTACCTCTATCCAAAGTTTAAAAGGGTCCTTGCTAATCTAAAGTGGGCAGGCTGGCAATAAGGGAAGATTCAGGAGCAGTAATGGTTGTCTTGTTATCACAGAAACTGCCACTGAATTTCACTGGGTCCTTCTTTTCCACTAGAGAGACCCAATGGGAGTCCATGAAATGACTTAGTGAGGCAGGAATTTGACTGAAAGGAAACCTAAAGCTGACTTAGTGGACCCCTGACATCGATTCTAGAAACTAAACTGGGCCTGAATCCATCGTTAGGGTTTCATGAAGCCTAACCACAATGGTTAAATACCATGGGGACTTGGAGAGATAGTGCCATCATAACAGGCCTCTCTATTCTAAACTGCCTAAACTTGGGGTCACATTGAAGTGATTGTTGAATTCTAAAAGATGTTCAAATGTGCTCTATTTTAGTTTAGAGACTTGATCTTTTAATTCCAAGCCTAAGATACTAGTAATACTTCCCTGGAATCTTGCAACTTACTCAGATCTTCCTAATAAATGGACAAAAACCTGGAATAGTTTAGGATCATCTGAAGTTGCTATAGGAAGAAAGAGAAATACCTTGTTTTACAACTATACTGGAAACCACAATTCCTGTAAGTACACAAACACATGGCCACAAATATACACACCCAAACAAGAGTTCTATTTTCCTTCAGTGTCAGTCTTATTCATCAAATATGTAACTTAGATGAAAAAGTTCTAACTTGCCCCATGAGCTCTTTAAATGTCACATAAAATTTTAATTTTGTAATTTTAAATCTGGAAGGACTTTAAAGATTACCTCATCCAATAGTTCCAAAGCTTTGGATTTCAGTAAAATTTCATAAAATAGTTGAGTTCCAACATAGGGTATTCATCTTTTAATTTTACCCAGTAAGGAAAGTAAAATACACAAAAAGAAACAAAAGAAACACAATTATCAGCATTTCGAGGAAATAAACTAAGAACTTAAAAACTAAAACTGGTTTTGTGAAAAACTTAATGAACTACTAGCATATGGGTATGATAGACATTCTATTTTATAGAGAAACCCAGAGAGGTAAATAAGTTGTCAGATATAACACTTGGCTTGAGGCAGAACCAAACCTTTCCATCATACTATACTCATAGATAAATATGTCAGTGCTTCTAAGGCATTTTCCAATTTGAGAACAAATGTTTAATTGTAGGCTATTCCTTAGTAAGTCATAAATTACAATAGCTGTGGGAGGAGGGCAAGTGGGCAGGTGTGGGATAGGTCAGATAAAATTCACCCATGTAAAGAAAGAGACTAAGCAATTGAGTATATAGAATTTTCAAGTACTTACCATTATACAACTACCCAAACTGAGGTGTTGAAGCTCTGAACAGAAGTTCAAAATGCTGAGCAGTGCTGTTTGCTGCCAACAGGGCCCACCACATCAAAGAAAATATGAAAAGTGAAACAAAGAGATCAATTAGACATTAAAGGCTGCCACTGCTTTTCCTGAAACAGAGCCCACAACCTAGGTTACAGACACCACAAATGCCATTTAATGAATCCCCGGGTGCTCCCACCATTGACTGGCTTGGAGTCAAGGTAATCATTACTAGTCTCTGTGTAAGTCATCACTTTGTATATGGTTTGCATGCTCTAAAGATACCTACACCCCTATAACCTCTCACCTCATTTCCCAATAGTAAGCAGTTTGAAAGTCTGGTTAGGTCTGAACAACAAGACAAACTAAACATCTCCCACCCCCAAGGAAAAAAGAAAACCCACAGATGGCTGGTGACAACTCTGAAGAACAGCGGCACTCTGACATTCACTGGTCAGCTGCAGCCTGAGAGAACTGCCAATAAAGCCACCCCAAATCAGGGCTGAGCTCTGACTTTAATGTCAGAGGATTCTCTCTGCTGACAAGGATGCGAACAACCATTGAGCACCTGTCACTAGCAACATGCTGACTGAAACATATATAATGTGCACTCTCTAGTCATGCTCCTGCCATTTAAACCCATCTATTCTGTGCAATAAAAACGGTCTCACCACTAAAGAAAACCAAACATATGCTAGACTGCTACATATTCCTGGTACCTAGACAACTTCCAAATGGTCATAATTTTATTTTATGACATACTTTCCATGAAAAATTATAAAAACAAACAATGTAAAACAGTCAAGTGTATAGTTTTTCTTTTATAAATGAAGGAAAAAGCCACTCAAACTTAATACGGCAAAATTTCTTTCTAAACATTTGAACTAAATCATATCTAACAAAATTAAAGTGCTGTTGTACAACCCCAGTTTAATCTGTTCTAAGTGTTCAAAAACAGAAAAATATCTGCTGGCAAGGAGGAAGAATGAGTCAGTACCAATACAAAATATTTGTTCTAACTCCAGATATAATTTTCATTGAGAAAACAGTGAACTATTTCAAATAAAATCAACTTAGTGCAAAATTACAAGTAGTGATGACAGACCCTTGAGCAAGAGTAGACTTAAAACTCATTGTTTCACTGTTTGGCATTTCTTTAAATTTAAGCAAAAATAAAATGTTTATATTGATTTTTAAAATTTTCAATACAACATATAACACTTACAAACCAATTCCAAGAGTTTTCATAATGTGAACATTGATGGTGTAAATTACGGTAAGTTAATTTCAGATTCTCCATAATATTAGCCATTTTAACTTACTAACAGATGGGAAATGACATTAAGCTTTCAGCTTGTTTTTATTAAAGTATCAGGTCCTTATAATAAGATTGCTTTATAAGATTTTCTCATGAGAAAGATCCAAAACATATCACAGAAGTCAAAGAGAATGCCACACATTCTTATGAATAAAAAAATTTAAAAAAACCCACACATACAAACATCTACCACACTCTTCATTTACGCACACTTTTTGAAACTTATTTTCAAATTATTTATAATGAAGAATCTCAAGTATAGACAAGTAAAGCATCTAATATAATGAATACCTATTTAGTTAGCACTCAGTGTATCAAATCTTAACATTTCATCTCTTTGCTTATCCTTTTCTATTTGTTTATTGCTCCATCATTTACATACTTCCTCAGAGGTAACCTTTATCATGTCACAATGTTTAAAATGTGCTTGAAAATTATGTTATTTTACTATAGAATAAGGATCTATAAATGGTATATATTACTCTATATGGTTTTTATATAAATGGTATTATAATATGCATATATATATATATATATATATATATATAAATTTTCCTCAACAGAGTTTATGAGGGATTTGTCCACACTTACATTCACAGCTCTGATTCATTGACTTTTTAACTACTGTATACTAATTCCATTATGGAACTACTGTTCATAGATTATAAGAATTAACATTGTTAATGGTCACCTTATCCAAAGGACCTCATTTGATAAAGATTTAGGTCCTTTCCAAATTTTACCATAACAAAGAAGTTCAGAATAAACATTCTTAAATGTGCTTCCTTGTGCTTTTTTAGAAGACTACTTCTCTAGAACATGTGTGAGCAGAAGCATATGCAGATGTCTGGGTATGCTTCTGTTTTCTGAGTGCTTGTATCAATGGATGCTCCCAGAAATGGTGTTAAAAATATTGGGACCACCCCCCTTCTGTCAACACCTAGTCTTTTCACTTTTTTATAACATCGTCCTAGCTGATACTATGGAATGGTATAACTTAAGTGAGTATGATCACTAGTAAGGTTAAAGATCCTTTCATGTGTTTGTGGCCCACTCTGTAAAATGCTTATATGAACATAAATGTTATATTTGCTACTGATTTTTTTTTAAAATAACATTTACAAACCAATCCCTGAGAGCTGTTTTCTCACTTCTTAACTTGTAGGAATTCTATTGTAGCTTGAATACCGGTCTTTGTCAGTTATATCCATTACAAGTATCTTCCCTCAACCTGAAACTTACCTTTTTGCTTTGTTTATAAAATCTCCAGATATGAAATTATAATATAGTTGCATCAATCAATTTTCCTTTCTCTTTATATTCTGTTGGTTTTTTTTTGTAATTTCCTCTTTACTCAAAGAATATTCTTTATTATTTTTTAAGATTTATTTATTTATGCTTAGAGAACTAGGGTACAGGCCAGAAATGTCATGGGTGAGAGGGTTCACTAAAGACAGAGTGGGGAGCAGAACAGGTAGATGGACAAAGTACACAGCTTAGGGTCGCAGTGAGAGGTTCAAAAGAGGTTGCCACGCCATATGGGTCAGCAACCTGGCTGGAGAGCAAACTCGTGCTGCGGTGGCTTTGGAGAGCTTCATAACTCCGTGCTTTAGCCCACTGCACCACCAGGGAGAGCCATCTTATTATTTTTTTTAATGACAGCTTTGCCTTATAGTTGTTCTTTTTTGATTTTGGATTTTTAATCCAACTGAAATGGAATTTTATACGAAATTTCATTTTCGTTTCTTTGGAAATAACCATACTTCAATCCAGTGTATTAACAATAACTACCTTACCCACTGATCTGTGATGCTGTCAGTCACATGCCAGTTTCCATACATGTGCGGGTCTACTTTTGGTCCTTTTGTTTCCCTGGACTAGTTGCCCTTCTCAGCAACAAAACTCCAGGCTTAATCATTAATATCTAACAAGTCTATAAATCTATCAGGGTAATAAGTCTATAAATCTTGTCTTAGTCTTCAAAACTTTCTTATCTATTCTTGGCCGTTTGCTCTCATGTTAAGCTTAGAGTCACCTTAATGATTTTAGTTGTACCTGTCTAAAAATAACACATAAAGATTAGTTTTTCTTTTTTCTTTCATGCATTATTTAATTTTCTGGCATTTTATACATTTCTGTATCATGACTATTATATCTGATGATTTCTTCACTGAACTTTTTTTCTTGAAGAATATTTTAATGCTTATTTTAGTGAGTGTCTATGAGTAGCAAAACACTAACAGAAAACATGAATTGACTACTTACTCACATCAGAGACTACTATAAATTCTTTATATGTCAATCCTCATAACAACCCTATTGTTTTTATGTTTAATCTTCACAATAAACTGATTTACTCACTTAATAAATTTTTGTTGATGCCTATGTTTGACAATTATGTGTTAGGAACTATGTAAGCACTTGGGACATATCAATTAACAGAGCGGATAATAGCCTATAAGACAGATATCACTATTCCCATTGATAGAACTTACTTAGTCTTTGTATTTCCCATCAATCTTGAATGAAAGTTTGGCCAGGCTTAAAATTTTAGGACAAAGCTATTTTTTGCTCACTTTTAAATTAATAATCCAGTGCCCAGTAGCTTATATGGTTTTCATAAGAATCTATTCTCAGTGTAGTAATTGTCTTCCTTTTAAGGTAATTATATCTCTTTTCCCTTAGAGCTCTGTCCATTTACCTTTTATATTCTGCAATTTCATCACAATATGTCTAGATAAAATTTATTTTCATTTATTATATTTAAATAGTCTAAGTGAACCTGAGATTTATAAACTAGCATCATTCATGAAAGATGAAGATTCTTAATAATTTCCTCTTCAAATACTACTCCTCTAACATTCCTTCCAACATTTTTTGGCCCTCCTATTATATGACCAAGGAATTTCCCAAGTGCTATCACCTATAGTAGTTTAAAAAATGTGTCCATATCACTACTTGCATATGACAGAACATATATGGGAAACCCTAAAGATACCACTGAAAACTATTAGAAAAAAGTCAGTAAAGTAGCAGTATACAAAAGTCTGGTGTATTCCTATTGCAAACAATAAATTAGAAAGACATTAAGAAATTATTCTACTTATGCTCATCAAAAACAATTAAGCACTTAGGAATAAACTTAATAAAGGAGGTAAAAGACTTATATAATGAAAACTGTAAGACATAGTTAAAAGAAATTTAAAAAGGCCCTCCCTGGTGGCGCA